TGCTGGAAGGGCTGGGGAAGGCGTCAAGCAAGCCGATCCCCTTAGACTCCACTTGTCTCCTCTGCAGCCTGATGTTTCCAGCCTTCTCCCCAGGCACCTGCCCCTCTGAGTGTCTTTCTAAGGTCTTTCCTATTCTTTTGGAAAATATCTGAGAGACCTTATACTTGGCTGAAAACACAGGGTCCTTTGTGACCAATACTCATGTGAACAAGATCAGAACTGTTTTTCCTTTCGGCCTTTATTTGGAAGCAAAATCAGGTGGGAAAGAAGTGAGTTGAACAGGAACAGGAGACAAAGCACCACTTGTTGAGGGGGGCCTCTCTTGGTCTGTTCAGCTACTGTAACAGAATACCCTAGACTGGGTAATTTATTAAGAACAGAGGTTTATTTTCTTACAATTCTGGAGGCTGTGAAGTCCAAGAACATGGTGCCCACATCTGCGAAGGGCCTTGTGCTGTATCATAATGTGGTGAATGGTCACAGACAGTGGGGAGCAAGAGGCCAGAAGCCAGGCAAGCTTGACCTTTCCTCAGGAACCCATTCTTGAGATAATGGACTCACGGCCATGATGGCAGCATTAATCCACCAGTAAAGGTGACACCCATTGGTCACCTCCTGAAAGTCCCAATAGCATTGCGATGGTAACTCAATTTCAAAGGAGTGTGGGGGACATTCACACTGCAACAGGGCCTGAGTGGCTGCAGGAAGCCCTACGGGAAAAAGGGGAGATCCTCTGGCTTACAGTCCCCATGCTGGGTGAGGAAGGGTGTCCTGTATTGGGGGTCATCCCCTCAGACACAGGCCTGTTAGGACACTGGGGTCCCTTGTGCACTGGTATTCCTTGAATGGGATCCTCAGATGTATTCTCAGAGATCTGTAAATTCTCTACAAGATTTTTAATTTGGGGGTTTTCAAGTCTATGACAATCTGAAGAATCAACAATAATCTCATCCAGCCAGGAGCCATGGAACACGCCTGCAATCCCAGAGACTTAGGAGGTCAAGGCAGGAGGATCACAAGTTCAAGGCTTTTTTGGTACCAGGGACTGAACCCAGAGTTCCTTGACCAATAAGCCACATCCCCAGCCCTTTGTATTTTTTATTTTGAGACAGGGTTTCACTAAGTTTCTGAGGCTGGCCTTGAATTTGTGATCCTCCTGCCTCAGCCTCCCCAGTTGCTGGGCTTACAGGGGTACCTCCCATACATTTTTTAAATTATTAAGTATTTGATGATAGAAAAAAAGCCCATACATTTGTTATAAGCTGTAGTAAAACAATCATCCTAAGCCCACTACTAATTTATAAATCATGAACATCATCCACATCACTGAAATTAACTGCGCCTTCTCCTGGTTCTCTGCCTCCTCAGAACAAGTGGGGTCTGCCTCCTTCCCAGGCCCAGTAGACAGTCCCCAGGGGTGCTGCCGGAGCATCTACCATGAGCTTAGTGTCGGCCAACCCCAGCAGGCCTCGGGAACTTGATCATGAGAGTCAGGTGGATGGGAGACAGGACAGAGACTCAGAAGGAGCAGAGACAAAGCAGGATGGTGGGATTTGAGTCCCACCAATCCCATCTCTGCCTTACTAGTTCTGTGACTCAAAGCAAGTTACTCAACCCAGCTGCGCCTGTTTCCTGTCTGTAAAATGGAAATAATCATAGGACCAACTTCCTAGGATTGTTTGTGGATGGTTCAGCAAAGCATGGAACAAAACTTGGCAGGTAAGAAGCACCCAGAAGGTGCCAGCGATTGTCACTACTGACGCTGCAGCATGAGAATTGCAGGACTGCTGACCAGGAGGCAGGAGACCAGAGGAGGGGCACTGACCAGGTGCTGGCGCTGGACACACCTTGGGAGACTTTCACCTCACCATGGGGTGCAGAGGCACAGAGGTGGCTCTGTCCTTTGGCCCCAGCCCTTGATTCCCTGGGACTGTCCCCTCTGGAACCCAGGCACCAAGGCAAGCAGGGGCATCCTTGAGTTGCTGGGAACCGTCCCAGGAAACGCAGCACCTCCAGGAGGGGACTGAGGACCTGACACCTTAACCTGGGTTTCAGCCCTGGCAGCAGGCCCAGCTGGGGAGGGCACAATGGAAGCATTTGAATGTCTTTTAAATACATAATCTGGGCTTAGATGCCCATTCACTTGACCTTTGTCCGTTCTTGCCTGGAACCACTTTAGTACGAGTTAATAAATACTGGAGGAAATGTTTAAGGCCAGGCGGAGTTTGGGTTGAGTCTCGGTAGGAAACAGTATTCCTTGAGGAGAGAGCTTTGTGCCCAGGGGACCTGAGGACTATTGGCCTGAGATACTGGTTTCCCCTCTAAAATGGCATACATTTCATTTCAAAAGCCCCTGTCTGGATGTGGGGTACACACCTGTGATCCCAGCTACTCAGAGACTGAGACAGGAGGATCCTAAGTTCAAGGCCAGCCTGAGCAACAGCAAAACCCTGTCTCAAAAAATAATTTAAATAAATAAATAAAGGGGCCGGGGATGTCCCCAGTGGTAGAGCACACCTGGCTTTGATCCCCAGCACTGGAAAAACAAAAGTTCCTAGATACTAAATTAGCTGGTCACCATAGTTACCTGCAATAACAGGCATGACAGTCCTCAGGACGACATTCTGTCTTGAGGATTGTCCCAAAGTTTGGGAGCAAAGCCCTTCTCAGGTTTTAAGTGAAATGCACGGAAACAGCTCTGTATGGTACACGGAGACACTGGTCAGCTGCATCAGCATGGCCTGGGAACTTGCTAGAAACCACCTCCAAAGGCTGGGGTGGAGCTCAGTGGTAGAGTGGCTTGTCTAGCACGTGCGAGGGCCTGGGTTCTATCCCTGGTACAAAATAAAAACCCACAAAGGCATATTCTCAGGCCCCAACACAGCATTCCATGATTGGCAACCTTGGGGGACAGACCCCAGGATCTGCTTCCCAAGCCCCCACAGGATTCTGATATGCTCGGCAGGTAACATTCAGGTAGGGAAGGGAGCTGTGAGGCCCACGCGCTGGCTCTGGCCCCAACTCCATCTGTCACCATCTGGAGGGGGTTCTTCCTTTGCCTCAGTCTCCTCATCTGGAGATTGAACATGAAAGGATCTCCCTTCTCTCTCTTAGCTCAGGATTGATGTAAAAATCAGGAGATGATAAAGAAGCCAATTTTTCAGAAGTGTTAAATAAATGCCCCACAAAGGATATGAATGCCGCCTCTCAAGTGCCCCCACCTCCATATGGATCTAAGAATGTCAAGAGAAGGGGCCTTTATTTTTCTTCTTCTTCTTTTTTTGTGGTACGGGGATTTAGCCCAGGGGCATCTATCACCAAGTTACATCCCAGACCTTTGTATTTTTTAGTGAAACAGGGACTTGACAAGTTGCCCACGCTGGCCTCAAACCTGTGATCCTCCTGCCTTAGCTTTCTAAGTAGCTGGGATCGCAGGTGTGCACCAGCCTACCTGGCGGGAGCAGGGGTCTTCATGATTTTTCTTCATTTTGTGTGAAACTGAGTAAAGGTCCCATTTCCTGGAAAGAAGACCATTCAGATGCCAAAGTCAAGACAGGCTGGTGGCCTGGGACCCTACTTAAAATGGCAAGGACTTCCCAGTAGCCCTTAGATAAGGAAGGGCAATGGCACCAGGAGCCAGAGAACTAAAAATAGGCAAGTGCTTGCCTGGCCTGCACCTAGTATGTTCCCCCAGGGGTTTTCCACTTTGCTAATGAATAATGGACTCTGACCATAGGAGCAAATGCTCAGGAGGGAAGGGCCGGCTTCTCGGTGCTGGGTATCTCAGGCAAGCGACCATCAGGACCTGAGCATTGATCCCGAGGGCTGCTTCTCTGCCGTCCTGTCAATCCTGACAGGACCTCCACCAGCTACTTCTTAACCCAACCGATCAAAGACTGAGGCAGGAAGTGAAGTGACTTTGCCCAAGCGGGGAGAGGTGGACTGAGATTCACCCAAGTATGTGTGATGCCAGCACTTGGCAGGGACATCTCACAGGGGGACACAGCAGAATCACAGGATCAGGGACACAGAGTCACAGGACAGTGGCATTTGAGATGCATCATAGAACATGATGGAAAACTCAATATTTTTCTTTTTGGTACTGGGGATTGAAACTAGGGTCTTGCATATGCCAGGTAAGCAGTCTGCTACAGAGCTACACCATTTTTAAAGTTTTTTTTTTTGTTGTTGTTTTTTGTACTTGTAGATGGACAGCAGGCCTTTATCTTATTTTTATGTGGTGCTGAGGATCAAACCCAGTGCCTCACACATGCAAGGCGAGGATTTTGCCACTTAGCAACAGCCCCAGCCTTAAAGTATTTTCTTTGAGACAGAAGTTTGCTATGTTGCCCAGGCCGGCGTTGAACTTTACTCTGGGCTCAAGTGAGCCTCCAGGAGCCTCAGCCTTCCAAGTGGTGGTGATGTCTGTGCATGGAGACTGCATTTAAAACCTCTGAAAAGTGCGCTTCAAAAGATTAAGACGTCAAATCTTGTGTTATGTTTCTTTTGTATTCTAGGAAATTGGGAAAACATTTTTAAAGGCTTCAAAGGTGGAACCCTTGAGGTTGGTGCATGTTTCTTCTAAGACCTATTCTTGCTGGTGCCCCAAGTCCCCAAGAGATGGCAGCAGTGTGGGGGACCAGCCTGTGTCGGCAGCTTTTGGTCTAGTCTCAGGAGTTAAGGTCAAGGCTTGCCTTCTGCTTCCGCTTTTCTGGAAGCTGATGTTCTCACTGATCAGATGAAGGAAATGGGGCCCAGACAAGCAAGATGCCCCCGGAGCAGGGCTGGGGTGACACCACTGTCCTCATCCCCAGCCTTCCCGCCCCACACATCACCGGCAGTTGGCTCCCAAGGGGCCAGTCAGGTGAGACATTTCCTTGGTGACTTGACCTCTACATCACGAGGCGGTCCTCTGGAATTCTTTGGAAATATCACTTTGTTCTGATGGGATAAGGAATCCGCAGGGCGCATTGGCAGTACAGAAACATCAAAGCAGGAAACTGAATTAAGTTTCATTTATTCTAGGGCAAACTCAAAAGGGTTTTTTTTTGTTTGTTTTCTTTTTTAGCAAATCCTAGCACATTATTAACAAAAAAATCTGTACATTTGCCATGATACACGTGAAAGTGAAACAAATAAGATATAAATACAGATATGGATGTAACATGAAAAAGCCCAAAAAAACCCAAACAAAACAAAACACCCAATCTGGGTGTGGGGGGACCATGCGCGTGAACACAGTGCCAAAACTATTTTGGTGGCTGATATTTTTCAGAGCATTTCTTTTCTCATTTCCAAACATTGTTAGCAGAGTCTTGGGGTTCTACAAAGTCCTTATTTGCTGTCTTTTAAAGTGTATTATTATGCTTGATAAGTAAGGGTGGCAGGGAAAGAAAAGGGTTGATGAGACAAAATCATCTGCATTACCTGGGGGGCTGGGAAGCTAGTGTGAGCCACAGAAGAGGCTGCAGGGGGCCCCCTGTGGCACCGGGTCCAGAAGCACACGCAGTGCACTTGAAGAAAGCCGCGTGCCTCAGGGACCGGCTGCACCTGCAGGACTGTGGTCTGAGGAGGGTGGCAGCAGCTTTCAGGGAAGCAGAGTCAGATGAACCAGCCCCTAGCCTGGGGCAAGAGAGCGTCCGAGGCCCTGGACAGTCAGGCAGATGGGAGGCAACAGTTTTTGCTCTGCTCTGGGGTGTCCCATGGTTTCATCTGAACAGGAGCCCTGCAGAGGGTGGCGGCAAGGCAAGGCAGCTGCGCTGTCAGGGTTTGGAGGGCAGCCGGCGTGGACACAGCCACCCTGGTGAGGTGGTGGCGGCATGCGAGTCTCCTCGGCGTGGCACGGTGGGCAGCGATTTTCAGATTGAGGCCAAATGACCTGTGAAGTGATTGTTCTCTGTCTCTAGTCAGGAGATTGAAGAGGGCGCAAGTGACATTCAAGGCTAGCCCTTTGTAAGTACGGGAGGACATCAGGCAATGTTTGAGAGCCTTCCAACTACACTGGGGGTGTGGTGACCTTTTGGAAGCCAAAGAGCTCCAGAAGAAGGGTCTGACTGATTAGGTGTAGGAGAACCCATAGAGAAGACCTCACCAGGACGGGTTTCCACACAGAGGGGCGACCAACAGATGCTGGGACTCAGGAGAGTATAAAAACAAAATCCCATTAATGAACTATTAACAAGCAAACACACGAACAGTATTTATCATTGAAAGTAAGGCCTGGTCCTGCTGTTTTGAGCCAAAGTCAGTCAATAATAGTCAACCACTTAGATGCACCCCTCAAGTTCCCTAAGCAGCAGTAGTGGGGTACCTGACACCTGATAAGATATCCCCTACACACACACACCTGGAAATCAGGGGGTATTCATACTCAGTATCTGTTTCCAAATATATTACCTATCTTTCACAACTTCCCCTGTCAAATCTAGAGGGCCAGAGAGGGGGTGGTGGGAATGGGGGATGAGAAGCACACACTCCGGTGCCTCAGCCTTGGTTTCAGTCCTCACAGCTGCAGAGGACTCTGCACTGGGACAGCCAAGACCTCACTAAAATTAATGTCCAAGGAAGCACTTTCCTTATGGAGGGTCAGTTCAATCAGAGGATCTAACAGTAAGTGATGGCAGATGATTTCATGATTGCATTAGACTGCCATCTGGCTTAAGAACTTTACTCAAGACTCATTTCTTTGTAGCAATTACACCCTAAAGAGCTTAAAGAGCCGGTGGTTTCCCTGGGAAGGAAACAGACTCTAAAGGTGTGTTTCAAATCCTGTAGTTCTGCCATCTGCCGCTCACCTTAAACAGTGACTAACAATCAAGGAAGTACTTCAACTTATAAAATTAAAAATGATTTGGATAAACATGATTTTTCTACACTTTTTTTTTTTTTTTTTTTGCTCTTGATCTCAAATTACATAGAGAAGCCAAAACTGGGCTGGTAAAGTAGGCGTTTGCTAGATTAGCTGAGAACATTTTAGAACTGAACAGCTTAGGCAAAGCTGATGGGGAGGGAAGGGAGATGGCACCAGATTTGAATTACTGACCCGGGGAGTCCTGGGAGAATCCCTATCTCAACAGCCATTCCCCAAGACCTTAGCAGGGAGAGAGACAGACTTATACCTTCTGCGCATCACATGATGCGATCCATCTCTGATGGATGCGATCAATTATAAGTATGGTTGGACTTATACTTCAAGAATTCTTCTGGCATGGCAGCTCTGGGGCAGGGACATCTGATGAGTTGTTCAGAGGGGCCTTCCTGACCCTGTGTTCCAAGCCAGGACAGCCGGCTCCACTTTGCGTGAGCTAACTGACAGACCAGCTTCCAGCTCTTCTCCTTTTCCTGCTAAGGCTTGAGTTCCACTTTTAGGAGGTCTCAAAACCAACCTAAAGACATGCACCCTTTCTTGGTATCAGATGGGAAAAGAGTAGGGGGCTTCGCCTCACACAGGCCATATTCATAAGAATGTAAGCTGAGAATAAGGAACACCCCCACATCCATTATTAATTGAAAAAAAAAGAAAAAAGCTACTGTCTACCAAGCATTGGCTAGAGAGCTCTGATTGTTAAAAACTGCACCCCACATACATGATTTTGTGATTGCAACAGGCGGTACAAGACGTGTGTAAGTATGGCTCTTGTTGTTCTCATTCCTTTCGTCTCTACGAAGACGGCGATACAGGCCTTGCTTCCGTTACATTCAATACCAGTAAGATTCTACACAAAAGCTGGAAGGGACCAAAATACTGATTGTAATAAATATGTGCGGGCCTCCTCGTACTGACTGGGCAGCCGATGGGGGTCTGAGGCACCACCGATGGCGTTTGACTCTGCACAGAGACTGGCACTGCCACTAGCTGTGCGTGGAGACGTCGGAGGAGGAGCTGCTGTTGCTGTTGGTGGTCTGTGCCCTCTTTATGTATAAGTTTAGTAGCTTCATCTGCAGAGAGAAGACACACTGAGTTAGGAGGAAAAGCAGCAGAGAGGAAAAAAAAAAAAGAAAATGAACCACCCCGATGACCACCAGACAACAGCCTGCCTCTGTTCCCCTGTGGGGAACCGGTCACACGGACGTCCAACTCAGTGTCCCACTCATCATGTGCACCTGCAGGTGCTGGCCACAGCTGGGGAGGCGCTCAGGATCTAGAGGAGCAGGGAAAGGTAGTGGGCTATCACAAAAGAAGGAAGGTGTCACAACAGGCCACTGGGGCTTGGAGACCAAGTTCTCCACGGGGCAGGCTACATGTCACCATGACAGCTGTAGCCCAGTGGCTCCGTCAGCACTCGGATAGACAAGAGTGAGAACAGGAACAAGGACAAGGCTCAACTAGAGGTCAAGTCTGTGACTCCCACGCTGTGCTCAAGTTCTCCCTTTCTCTAGCACCCCTCCTGCCTAGGAAACCTGCTGCCACCCGAGGCACTGGAGTCCTATCTCAAAGGCCATCCCACAAAACCTTGTTCTGATTAGAGTCTGGATGGGTTCATCTTCCTTCAAACTCTGTGGCTCTAGCTTCCTCATCTGAACTCACTGTAGATGGGCTCACATACAGTTTGTGTGTGTATGTATGTATGTGTGTGTGTGTGTGTGAGAGAGAGAGAGAGAGAGAGAGAGAGAGAGAGAGAGAGACAGAGAGGAGGCTTGCTTGTGCCCTCACACAAGATTAGACCTCTGAGGTCCTATATCGCATCACAAAGTAACTCAGATGGACAGAATACTTAGCAATGCAAGGCCTTGAATATCTGTAATCTCATTTGCTTTCAACTGAAGTCCCTTTAGGTTCTTAAAACACATAAAACTTCAGATGACATTGTAGGTACTTTAGAAACGCTTGCTGAATGCTACTAAATTAATCTATTGTGCACAGAAGCAGCATCACAGGAATTATGAAAAACTTTCTGTCCACAGCCCTGTATCTCACTCCAAGCAGGCTATGGGGCCGAGACCAGCATAAACCTGCCCAGGGGAAGGACCTGATCTCCAGGATGACCCTGAAGCCAGGCTCACGGGAATGCGCGGGTGCGTGAGCAATGTTATGGAGCATCGAGCCCTGGAGGCCCTGCGCCCACCCCTAAAGGGGCCATCTGCTGGGGTGCATCCTCCTACACCCTGACTTAGATCCCTGGACACGTTATCTACATGGAGATAGGACACAGGGTATGCTGCACCAGGCAAATGGAGGGAGTGTGTGCTAAGTGTCACTCAATGGTCCACTCTGGGATCTCCCCGTGGCAGGCTGTGCGCTGTCTTCCTCTTAACCATGTTAAGAGCTAACTTTATGCTAGCTTACACTACACACCATGGTTGGTTTTTGGTCCCTTCTTTTTTATTTTTATTTTTCGTAGTTGTAGATACACAGCCTGCCTTTATTTTGTTTGTTTACTTTTATGTGGTGCTAAGGATCGAACCCAGCACCTCACACATACATGCTAGGCAAGCACTCTGCCACTGAGCCACAGCCACAGCCCCAGCCCCAGCCCCAGTCCCCTGACTTTAATTTAATTTTGTTCTTCTGAGGTGCTAGGGATGAAACCCAAGGTATTGCGCAAACCAACATGTCCTGAGCTGCACCCCTAGCCTTTCCCTGCCTTTTACACTCTTGAACTTCACTACAGTGGGTGGTGCTATGACGACAAGTGTCACCACTCACAGGGACTTTAGTGCTTAAGGCTCAACAAATCCAGCAGAGTTCTAGAATCAACTCCACCATTAACTACTTGTGTGACCTTGGGCAAATCCGTTTCTCGCCTCAGATGCCACCTGCAAAATCAAGAGCAACGAGGACACTTGCAGTGTGTTGTCTGTGATCTGTGAGGAGACGGTTCCCCCCATGCCTTCCTATTCCTACTGGAGCTGCTCACATGGTCCCTCCTCCTCCCCCTTCACACACGGGGCCCCATCCTGCAAGCCTAGCTCGGTTCCACTTCCCTCCTGCTCCAGTGGCCTGTCACCCCGCCCTCGGGGCCTGTCCCATTGTGTCTTCTACAGGGGCTCATTCCTGGGCTGCTGTTCAGGTTTCCCTGTGTGTCAAGTGTGTCCCCCAGCTGCATCTTCTGCCCTTCCGAGGCAGGGCAAAGCCTCTGCTCTTCCTGCACCTTGGCTCAGTGTGGGGAGAACAGTCCCCAGTACACACTTGTTGGAGTAAAGAGTTAAAGGAAAAAATAAGATCTGGAAGACAAGATAGTTATAGTTCTAAGAAATCTGATTATAAATGAATTTAAACACTCTTATCCATATTTTCAACTCAAAAATCACTATTGTCTCCCGTTAGTCAGATCTAGAATGCAATTATGAGGAAAGAGCATTAATAAGAGTTCGTAACGTGCATGTGTTCGATGGTTTATGGGGAGCTTTTACACCGATTGTCGTATTGAGCCTTACAGAAATCCTCTAACACGGGCAGAACAGATTCTCTTCTCTTACAAAAGAAAAGGCCAAGGTTCAGGAGGCTTGCTGGATAAGCTGGTTTAGAGTCGACTCTAACTTTAGGATGTTAAATATAATTGCCACGGCAACAAAGGAAACAGCTATAGAATATACACAAAAGGAAATGAGAAGGGATTCAAAATGTTTCACTACAAAAATTTAAAAAACCCAAAGACGACAGTAATGTGGAAAATGAGGAACAAAGAGCTCACAGTAAAATGCCAGAAGTCCCTCCTGATCAGTAATAACTCTAAACGTCAGCAGATTAAACCCTCCCATCAAGACACAGATTGGCAAAATGGATGAAAAAATCTGATTTAACTATATGCTGCCAATAAGAGACTCAGTTTAGATCCAAAGATAAATGGGTTGAAAGTGGAAAAGACATTTATGCAAATAGTAACCAGAGAGAGCAAGAATCAGAAAAAAAACAACTTTTAAATCAAAAGAAGTTGTAAGAGAAAAAGGAGGATAATAGATGGTTGAGGGAGAGTGGGCGGGGCAGGGTGAGGTGAGGCCCTCCAGGAGGAGAGGCAGGCATGCGGGCCATGCCTGGGCACCCCACCCAGGACGTGGCCATCTCCTGGTGCCTCCACAGTTCCTTCGAGGTCAGCTGCCACCAGCAGTGGGTGAGGCACTGTGGTGAAAATCACAGCATCCTGGCAGGTGGGCTGGGGCATGAAGAATTCGTGCAGACACATTAGGGAGCTACTGTGGGGTGGCAGCCCAATATAAAATATTTTGATAAAAGAGACTTAAAATTCAAGGACAAATCTGAAGCAGGACAATTCCAGCTTTCCGAATCAACTACAAATTCCTAGGCATTTACTGAAATTTTCACAAATGTTACAAATATTCTTTCTGGATATTAAAAAATGCTCTGTTGATTCTGTGACAGTATTAGTTTGACATGGCGTACACATCAGTCTTTGTTCCCTGTGTACTTCACAATGAAATCAGACAAGTAACAGAGGATCCATGTTTCAACCAGGAAGACTTGAAGTACAGTGGTTTAAATAGGACTAGTTCTAATTTGGTAAGAAATTTATTTTAAGAAACAAGTAAAACCAGGTATAAACCACCCACCCACCCACACACACACACACACACACACACACACGATGAATGCAGCCAGGCACAGTGGTGCACACCTGTAACCCCAGTAACTTGGGAGGCTGAGGTGGAAGGATCACAAGTTTGAGACGAGACTCAGCAATTTAGTGGCCCTGAGGACTTAGTGAGACCCTGTTTAAAAAAAACATAAAAAAAGAGCTGAGGATGTGGCTCAGAGTTAAGTGACCCTGGGTTCAATCTCCAGATAGACAACATCGACAAAAAAGTTTAGTACAGCAAGAAGATAAAATAATCCTAAGCATTTACTATATAATAAGAGATCATCTAAATATATGAAGCAAAAATGGATACAACAGACAGTTCTACAGTAACAGTTGGGGACTTTGACATTTCACACTCTCAATATTGGTTAGAATGATGAGACAAAAGACAAGGAAATAGAGGACTTGAACAACACAATAAACCAGATCTAACAGACCGAGCCCAAACTCTCCACCCAACAATGGCACACACATTCTCCTCAAGTGCATGTTTCCCAGCGTAGACCAAACGTTGGGCCACAAATTCTCAGCAGATTCTAAGAGATATCATAAAAAATATCTTCTCTAACCATAGTAAGATGAAGTCAGAAATAACAGAAGGAAAACTGAAGAACTTATAAATTTGTGGAAATCGCTTTTAAAAGTCAGTGAGTCAGCTGAGTGTGGCGGGGCACACCTGCCACTCGGGAGCTGAGCTGGGGGATTGAAAATTAACTGCCAGGGCAACTTAGCAAGAGCCTGTCTCAAAATTAAAAAGGGCTGGGGATGTAGCTCAGTGGTGGAGAGTCCCCTTTAAGGCAAAACAAACAAAAAACCAAAAAAGCCCTACAAGGTTCATTCAAAAATATTTTGAGAGAAATGAAAATGAAAGAACACCCAGCATTCCAAGTTTCTGTCTAGGGGAGGGTAGAGCTGTGAGTGCCTGAATGAAGACGGCAAGCTTCAAATCAACAAGAGCTACATCCGATCCAGGAGAGGAAGATAATATAGGCAGAGCAGAGACGAAAGAGAACCGAAAAATAATAGGAAAAAAATAGATGAAACTAGAAGTTGGTTTTTTGAAAAGATCAACAAAGTTGACGGATTTTTAACTAGGTGGACTAAGGAAAAAAAAAAAAAAAGATGCAGATTATAAAAATCAGAAGTGAATGTGGGTACGTTATAACTAATAATGGAAATAAGAAGGGTTATAGGAATATTATTAATAATTATACACCCCAAACTGGATAATGTAGATGAAATGGATGAATTTCTACAAACAACAAAAACAGAATCACAAAGAAACTCCGAACAGACCTGTAACTAGTAAGAAGTAGTCAAAAAAATCTCCAAAAAGTAAAAGCCTGAACCAGATGACTTCACTGGTGAATTCTTCCAAACATTTAGAAAAATAACACCAATCTTCCTCAAATTTTTCCAAAACACAGTAGGGGGAAAATGCTTCTAAACTCATTCTACAATGTCAGCACTGCCCTAATAACAAAACTACATCTCTAATGAACACTGATGAAAAATTCTCAACAAAGACTAGCAAATAGAATTCAGCAGCAAATTTAAAATATTATATACAAAGACCAAATGAGATATATTAATTTATTCCTGGAATGCAAAAATGGTTCAACTTATAAAAAAATCATTGTAATATACGATGTTAACAGAATAAAGAAAAAGATGTGACTATTTTTTAAAAAAATATTTATTTTTTTTTAGTTGTAATTGGACACAATATCTTTATTTTATTTATTTTTATGTGGTGCTGAGGATCAAACCCAGGGCCTTGCACATGCTAGGTGAGCGCTCTACCACTGAGCCACAATCCCAGCCCCAAGATGTGACTATTTTAACTGGTGCAGAAAAACATCTGAAAAATATAATATACCTTCCATGATAAAAACACTCAAACTAGAAATAGAAAAAACCTTATCTTGACATATTAAGCCATATATAAAAAACTCACAACAAAAATTATACTCAATGGTGAAAGACTGAAAACTTTTCTAAGATCAGGAACAATGTAGGGACTCTTGTTCTTACCACTCCAACACAGTCCTAGATGTTGTAGCCACAGCAATTAGAAAATAAAATAAAAATAACAAAGTAAAGGCATCTAAGTGAGAAATGAAGTAAATCTTCTTTGTAGATGATATTACTTTTATGTAGAAAACCCTAATGATCACACACACATAATCTGTCAGAACTGTTGGAAATTAATTCAGCCGAGACGGTACAAAAATAACCAAGCAAAAATAATGTGCAGGTTGGGGTGATGGCTCAGTGGTTGAGCACTTGTCTAGCATGTGTGAGGCCCTGGGTTCCATCCTAGCACCATAAGAATAAATAAATAAAAATTCCCCTCCACTAACAATGAACAAGCCAAAAAGAAAATTAAGAAAATGTTATGTATAATAGCATAAAAAAACCTGAAATATTTAGGAAATGACTTAACCAAGGAGGTAAAAGACTCACACAATTAAAACTATAATATGCTGCTGGGATAGTGGTGCACGCTTGTGATCTCAGCTAATGTGAAGCTTGAGGCACAAGGACCACAAGTTTGAGGTTAGCCTGGGAAACTTAGTGAGACCCTGCCTCAAAATAAAAATAAATAAAGGCTGGGTATATATAGCTTGGTGAGAAAGTACATTCCCAGAATGTGTGAGGCCTTGGGTTCAATATCCAGTACCACAAAAACCAAACCAAACCAACAAAAAACTATAAAAGGGTGCTGAAAGAAATGAAAGACTATGCAAAGAAGTGGAAAAATATCCCAGGTTCATTGGACTAGAAGACATTTGATGTCAATATGACTCAATAAGATTGATTATGTGAATGATATATAGACTTAATGCAATATATCAAAATTCCAAAGAGATATTTTGCTGAATTAGAAAAACCAATCCTAAGATTCATATAGAATGTCAAGAGATCCCAAATAGTCAAAAGACCAATCTGGAGGACCCATACCTCTGGAATCAACTTAGTACAAAGTTACAGTGAACAAATCAGGGTGGAACTGGCATAGAGACATACAACAAGGAGATAGAATACAGAGCCCACAAGTGAACCTTCGCAGACAGTCAAACAATTTTTGACAAGGTGACAGGACTATTCAATGAGGAGAGGATAATATTTTTAACAAATGATGCTGGGAAAAGAGGTATCTGCATGTCAAAAGAATGAAGTTCAACTCTTCCCTAATACCAATATACAAACATTAACCCCAAGTGGATGGACCATTCAAAATGGAATAACCTGAGCGTCAGAGCTTCCTGAGTCTAAAACACTCTTAAAGGAGTGTAAGTGGCAGCAGAGTAAGAATCCAGGTCCTGGAGTCCGACCTCTGTGTGCCCTTGAGCAGGCCAGAGAGGACAATCATCCTTATCTCATAGGGATGTCATGAGGAACACAAGTGAAAACATGCCAAGAGTGTGGACCAGCTCCTGGGGCAATGGTGGGCACCAGGCAACGGCCACTACTACTGTCAATGCCCACAAAGGACTCCGCTCTGATTCAGCAATTTGTTAAGCACTTATGTAAATTTCCTTAGTGCTCCTGTGAGAAACCAAGCTGGTTTCTGAATAAAGTTGTCTTTCTCCTGTGAGTAAAATAAAAGTGAATTTATTTTGCAAAAGCAGGAGTTAAAATAGATGATGATGTATCATGTTAGCATTCTCTTAAAACTTCATTACATGGCTGGCCATTTTCATCTTAAAACATGCTTTTTGAGAAATAAGGCCCAGCTGAAACATACCCGATGAAGAAGAAGCAGTCTGGAACCCAGTGCCACCACAGAGCAGGCTCACGTCAAGCTGGCAGGGCCCAGGTGTGGGTGTCAGCCAGGTAACACTGTACATACCTTGCTCCCCGTGAGCTGTGCGAGGTGAGGTTTCAGGTCTTCTCCGATTACGGAATAAATTGCCACTAAGCAAAACACGCTGGCCTTCCGCACACTGCTTTCCGTGTTGTCATAACCCTAGAAGCCAAGGGGGACACAAAAAGGAAATCAGATCAAAGGCTTGCTTCATAGTTAATGCCTCAGCAACACTTCCACCAACACCCTCATATTTCAACCCTGGACGTGTCAGTCACCATCAGGACCTACCTAAGACCTGCAACTGAATCCCGAGGGTTTTCACCTGAAAGGAGTTAAAATTGACTTGTGTTAAGAGTGACCTGGTGGGTGGGGTGCAGAGGCAAGAAGGGGTAAGTGCACTCTGTCTGCCACCACACAGAGCTGCTCTGTAATATGCCACCACTAAAAAGATGCCACGACAGAGATGAATTGAGAAAGCAAAATTAAGGGAAAAAATACTGGTTTCATTCACACTTCTCACAATGCTAAAGCAAATTCATGTGTGAAAATACTGTTAAAGAAACGAGAGGGCTGTGGCTGTGGCTCAGTGGTGGAGCGCTTGCCTCACATGTGTGAGGCACTGGGTTCCATGCTCAGCACCACATAAAAATAAATAAAATAAAGGCCTGCTGTCCATCTACAACTGCAAAAGAAACTAAAAAAAAAAGAAAGAAAGAAATGAGAACTACATCATTCACCATCATAGGTGAAAGCTGTCGGTCCTCCAGTGATTGCTAGAGTTGCCCATGCCCCTGTGTGACGCATGCTCAGTCTCCCTGTCTGACTTATCCCTGCACCAAACCCAAACGGGCCTATCTGCCGGTCTCCAAAGAACCCTGGTGACTTTTCCACTTTCATGCCTTTCCCTCTGGAATGATCTAGTCCCCAACTAAGTATCCAAATTCCCACCAAATGCTCAGTCAACAGCGGCATTTTTTAAATGGGAGGCTAGCTACTTAATAAATTCCTTTCTACCTTTACCCACAGAAATCCTCTCTCCCATCCCCACAAAATGGAAACCACTCCTCCACTGTGATGCAGCACACGACACTGTCACTTGTAGTAGCCATGTGACTGCATCATGTCACATGACAGGCTGAAAGCCCCTGAGGTGGGACCACACGTGTCTTCTGCCTGTCAGAGGATGCCTAGTTCACTGCCTCCCACCTAGAAGAAGTAAATGTTTGTTGGGAATATGAAAGCAAGGACCCTGTCTGAGTCACACTCCTTGCCTAGGGCTGGAGCCACAGGAGGTTTGCAACAAGGATCTGCTGAAGGAATGAACAAAAATCAAAATAGGTTTACCATAAACAGAAAAGTCCATTCTGTGAGCCACAGTTCTGGGCTGCCAGGTGCCTACCTTCCTGCTGCACCAGAAGCGGGCAGACTAGAAGACGCAGGTCCTAAAGAGAGGGTTTCCACCTGCGGTATTCCTACCTGCAGGCCAGTGAAGGAGGGCAGCAAAGACCATGTGACCCGGGAGCAGCTCACCTGCAGCAGGCCCGGGATGATGTCGGCGAGGAGCTGCAGCAAGGACTCCTTGGCGATTCTCTCCACGACTTTGGTCTGCATCTTGATGGCGGCCAGGTTGATGGGGTAGTCGGCTGTCTGGATGATGGGGCAGAGCACTTTGATGCACTGCTCTGGGTGGATGGAACTGGCCAGTGTGGAGGCAGCCTCCTCAGCAGCTCGCACCACCTGAAACACCAGGTACCCAGGGTGAGCCTCATGTGCTCAAGAGGAGAAAGAACCCCACCGCTGTTTTAGTTCAGAGGCCAACGACAAGGGTCTCACTGAATGCCAGAGGGCGGCCTCAGTTTCTCTAACACTGTCAAGGTGAAGCAGAGTGGTACGGAGGGCAACTTTCAAGAGGGGCGTTTTGCTAAAAACCTCAGAACAGTGGTTTTCTAAGAACGTCCTCCATCTCCAGCAGTAGCAGCATCCCAGGACCCCGACTGGAGGCGGGTCCCGCAAGCTGTGTTATTAAAGCCCTTCAAAGGTTCTTTTTAAGACGGGGTCTCACGATGTTGCCTTGAATCCCTGGGCTCAAGTAATTCTCCTGTCTCCACCTCCCATGTAGCAAGGACTAGGGATGTACGCTGCCACGCCCAGCTTCCCTGGGTGATTCGTAAAACCAATGCTGCAGAATCTCTGCCCTAAATGATTAGAACTTAAAGATACAAATGCTTTCCCCAATGACTAGTGGGACCCCTCACAGTGGAGCCACCAAAGAGAAGCCTGAAGGAAATCAGAGTGCCTTTCACCTGCTTCCTCCAAGGGGCTGAACCACAAGGTAGCTTGGTGGGCTTGAGAGAAGCCTCTGGAAGTGTTCCTGGGAGGCTCCCAAGGAAAGCTGCTTTTCTAGGAATGATGCCCTCTCACCTTGTACTTTTAACAAAGAGCATGAAATGACCACCTCATGGTCAGAGGAGCAGCCTCTGACCTGTGGAGAGCCACAAGACACTTTGATAATAAAGGGAACTAAGTGCAAAACTCAGTAAAAGGAGGGGGAGCATGCAGAAGATGTGGTAGGAAGAAAGAAGCTGGTTTGTGCTTAGGGATCTGAGGAGCTCACCAGTCCCAAGCGCAAATACTGCACTTCCTCATCTGTAAAATGGGGGTATCAAATGAATGATGAGCGCTATTCAAGATAGTGCAGACACTAAGTAACTGATACTTCCTCCTATTAATGGCATGGAGTATTTAACGTATGCACATTATGGAAATGATATATGAGTAAAGTCACCAGGCAAAAAGCATGGATGCATTTTCTTATGAAGTGCAATGAAAACCTAATACTTTTCTTTTAGAGCCTGCCTTGGACTGGGGATCCCAGTCCATTCTCTGCATTGCATTCTGCTGCTCAAAATAACTCAGTTCCATCTTTATATAGCAGCAAGAGAGAGCTACCAACCAGCCCAGTGCTTCAGGCACAGGTGACCCCTGAAAACAGACGGACCACCTGGAAAGCTGGCTCTACTTGTGGGCAGAGCAAAGAAGCAGTGCACAGAGCACGGGGGCGACCCAAGCCGAAGGGCAGATAGGCCAGATCTGGATCACGTGCTATACATGCTGTTTTAGTCACTCTGAGGTCCTGAGGTGTTGCCTGTCACCTGAGGATCCTTTCTCCAGCAGGATCGATTTGGGACTCCCCAGCTGTGGCCCAGCCCTGTGCCCATCCTGAGGGGGCACTGCTCTGAGAACACGGCTCAGTTCAGGAGTGTGCCTCATTGGTCCTGGTGTCAGCTCTGCTCTGTTGCCAGCAAAGGGCAGTCCTTCCAAATGACTGCATGTGCCTCATTAGAAGTTGATATATTCAAGCTGTGCAGGGGCGACGGGGGGTGGGGGGGCACACTTGTAATCCCAGTGAATTGGGAAGCTGAGGCAGGAGGATAGTAAGTTTGAACCAGCATGGGCAATGCAGGGAGACCCTGCCTCAAAGTAAGAAATAAAAGACTGGGGATGTAGCTCAGTGGTAGGGAGCTCTTGGGTTCAATCCTCAGTACTGGACAAAACAAAACATCCCCAAATGACACATTCAGGACCAGCCAAGATGCTAAAGGTGGATTCTTCACTATGAAGCTCCATACGGGCTCTGGCCGCTCATGCCCAGTAGCTGGCATTTATCATCCTAGAAACCTGGGGAATGTGTGAAAGGCTACACACACTACCTTACGGCGCAGAGGCTACATGGACCTTTATTTTCTCTATACATTTTAGAATGCCATCTTAGCAAGAAAACTGCATTCATTCATAAAAATGTTCCTGTGTCCTTTTCAGGACAGGAAAAGTGGCAGTCCTCCCAGCCCTGGTCCTACAGTGCTATGCTGGGGAAGCAAACAGACTCTTGGGCGTTTGCCTGGACTGACTCCAAGCCCTGTCGTGGCTGAGGCAGTACTATCACTATTGTAATCACTGTAACAATCACTACTGTCCCATCCTACCGTCCAATGACCTGACTCCCCTCTGCTGAGCTTGAACTCTTGCTGTCCCTCAGATGTGGCGGACACATGCACTCCTGCCCCTCTGAGGGTGTCCTTGACCATCTGACTGACAACACTTTCCCCTCCCGTTTTTCCCAGTCCTTCAGCCTGTGATCCTCACATGGCACTAGAGGTGCGCTCTACTTTACATTCTTGGTGACATTTCCATAAATGTTTCTTTTTACCAAACAGACAGCATCTTCCACCTGTACCTCAGTGCACAGGGAGATTGATGTTGACAAGTTCAGTACATGTGATCAACTGAGCTTCATTCCCCTGCCTGCCTGAGGACATGTCCCTCTTCAAAGAAGCCCTACCTCCCTGAATTCTGATCTTCATGTTTCTTTCTTGTCAATGGCCTTTTGAACTTTTCTAGAAAGACTACATCCTTGCGGCACTTTCTACAGGTAGGAATCTTATGAGATGAGGTCATATCCTCACCCCTGGCCAATATCGGGGCACACAGTGCACACACATGTAGGAGCCCACACTGGGATTGCGTATCAATCCCTTCAGGAGTTAAAGTGGAGTCCTGGGCCAGCATGGTTTCACAGTAAATACCACGCACGCACATCTAAAAAGAAAGCCCAAGCCTGATACATGTCTGTAATCAGATAGATTCAGGAAACTCAGGCAGGGAGACCACAAGTCTGAGGCTAGCCTAGGTCACTTAGTAAGACCCTCTCTTGAAAATAAAACTAAACCAAACAAATAAAAAATAAGAAGGATTGATGACACAATGGTAAAGCGCTTACCTTGTATGGGTAAGGCCCCGAGTTTCAACTTCTCTCAGCACCACAAAAAAATAAAAATAAAACAAAATAAAGGAGGACACTAGCCAGGTAAGGTAGCGCACACCTGTAATCTTAGCTACTTGGGAGGCTGAGGCAAGTGGATCCAAGTTCAAGGGCAGCCTGGTCAATTAGTGAGGCCCTATTTCAAAATAAAATTTAAAAAGAGCAGTGGGTACAGCTCAGGGGTAGAGCACTTGCCTAGCAGGTATGAAGCCCTGGGTTCGATTCCTAGTGCCCCACCTGTCTTCTAATTGTAGCTTTTCCCACACAGATGTTCCAAAGCCAAGTGCTTTTTGGCCCTGTCCATGTGCATGACCTTTCATTCGAGGAAGGCCTCCCCTTGGAACGGGATGAGCCCACGTTCAGCCCCTGCAGCGCAGCACACAGGCCTCAGTCTAGGGCTTTGGTAAGCGCTTGCTTAGTCTGAGCTTCAAATGTAAGCTCTGAGAGGGGGATTAAAACGACTCACTCTCAGTTATCTGCTGAGGAGAGAGAAGGGCATAACTCCCTTGGTACATTCTAGCTACAGCACATACGGCAGCTATAAGCCAGGGCTGGTAGGAGAGCGCCACGAGCAGTGGAGTGTGGCAGCAGAGGTGCCACCCCAAGGCCGAGCACCACTCTGGGAGCTGTGGGGTATCGGAGAGCAGAGCTCCCTCTCCACGAGACTCCTCCAGAGGAGGAGTGAGGTACCTACTGAGAAGCTCCATCCTCTGATGCAATATTCACACTCAACATTCAACCTGAGGCCTGGGTCCTTTCCTGCCACTCTCTGCCCAGCCCCGTCTCGCTCACATCCTTCACCTGGCTGCCCACGTCTTCATTCAGAACTCATTTCCACAGAAGCCCGGGAAGCCCCATGTGCATATATTACTCTTGTAAACATCTTGCTGAAAACGCCTCTTTCACTGGATGAAAAGTTCCCTAAAGGCAAGGTCCCATCTTGGCCATCTCTAACTGAATTACCCCTCCTCAGTTGATGCAGGCCCCCAAGGCCGTTCTATGTCCACAGCACACCCGGGAGAGCCACATAGAGTGAAGCAGATGGTGAGTCACAAGAAGGACTGGCAGACAGCCCTTCTCCTCCCTACTGTGGGTCCACAAAAAGACAGAGCTCTGAAGATACTGGTTTCCACTGTAACAAATCACCATGTATCGCAGTATACTGGGCAGAAAGCTGAGGAACTTTTGGGTCTTTGTGTTTAAACTTGGTGGTGGTGGTGGGGGAAAGGGTCAGAAAGACACTGGATGATTTGGTTAGGAAACCTAAGTGAGAAAATATCGATGCACAGGAACTGAGTTTAAGGTCCCCCTAAGGAGGTGGGAACCAGCTCAATGAGCAAAAAAAATGTAGAGACAGAGGGTGATTTAAGTCCCTAAGCCACTTTAGCCTTGACAGAAGCAAGCTAACAGCCTCCTGGTATCCCTCAGGGATGCAATGAGGATTAACGAGACTGGGCAACAAATGGCCAGGTTCACAGGGAGAACTCAGCCATGAAGTTCCCCTTCTCTCCCTCCCTCCACCTCCCATGCTCTACTGCTGTTCAGGTTGCAGTGATTTACTGTCCAGTGAGTGCTGAAAGACAGACTGCCTCAGAACTGCTGAGCTGAAACCCAAACTCAGGAGAACTTTCTCATGAAACTGCAGGGATTCAGCGGTGCCAGTGGCACAAGCCTGAAAACGCAGGGACTTGGGAGACTGAGACGGGAGGATCGGAAGTTCAAGGCCAGCCTCAGCAACTTAGCAGGAGTATGACTCAAGTAATAAAAACGGGCTGGTCAGTTTGTAGAGTCTTGCCTACCATGCACAAGGCCCTGGGTTCAATCACCACCACTACCACCACCACCACCACCACCACCACTACCCACAATAAATAAATAAATGTGGGCTGGGGATGGAGCTCAGTGATAAAGTACCTCT